ACTCTTTCCTATGATGGAGTTGTGGTTTATTCTTTAGAATTATCACATTTCAGTAAATCTTTCATTTCTTAATGCACATTTCAGTAGATTCCCTAGTCTTCAAAGAGTGCTGCCATAATTAGGGAGCGCACATATCTCTATGCCGCACTGAATTCATGTCCTTTGAGTATGTATTCAGGGTTTGGTGGCAGGAGCCACACTGGAGAGAGAACACCTGTGCCTCCCTTTTTGGCATCTGCTTTACCTCACTTAGTCCAGCAATTTCTAGTTCCATCCGTTTACCTGAAAATTCTTTGATTTCCTTTCCTTTACCACTGAGTAGAACTCCAAGTGTAAAAGTACCAAGTTGACATGATCAATTTATATTCTGAGGGACATTTAGGTTGTGTATCTGAATTTCAAAGAAAATAGAATAGAAACTTTCTAAACTCTGGCTTATCTTGTACTTAACTGAGACATTAACTTTCTGTTCTGAGGAACTGGGAGGACTTTGGTTGAAATTCAGACTCTCACAGCCTTGAAATTCCATGACGATACTAAAGGAGCACTCAATTTATTATAAACAGGCTTATAAGGAAGTTTTGGTCTTAAAAACTATGTTGCGACATTTCTTCGAGTTTATACATTTTAATATTAAAATTCATGTCATAATTGTTTTAAATTAATAGCCAATTTCAAAATGTACGTAGAGAACAACATATACTGCACCTACTAAAGACATATAGTCCTTCTTTGTCAAAAATTAATATTAAGGGACTGGGTGGATGGTTCAGAGATTAAGAGCAATGCCTACTCTTGCAGAGAGCCCGGGCTTGATTGCCAGCATCACACTGGAGAGAACAACCATCTGTACAAGTGGTTACAGGGAACTGATGCACACTTCTGACCTCAGTATACATTGCATGGCATGGGTGCATTTACATACATACAAGTAATACATTCAACACATAAAAATGGAACACTTTTTAAGATTAATATTAAAAAGGGGAAACTATTCTGTAATTTTGCATTTTTATTGATGGATGTCTGACTCCATGTCTCAAAAATATAATTTCTAATAATTGATGATAATCTTTTTCCACACTAACAAAGTGTGCAGGGGTGTGTCCTTCAAGACCACCTGCCTCTTGAGTGTGACTCAGGACATCACCATCACCCCCAGCACCCCAGGTGGTCACAGCTTAATGCACAAGACACCAAGTGCTCTAGCAACTTTGTATACCTGTGCTGGGTGGCTCATGATTTGAGTCTTTAGAAAAGACCTGGATTTCTAACACAGTAGTGAGCTCAACAGATAAAGAGAGAACACAACAGTAGTCTACCAATGTCTTCTCAATTGGAATATTCTGTCAGTACACTGACAATATTTACAGAGCTTTTTCAATTTGCAGAATTACTGTTCCATTTCTAATTACAGCTCAGCCAAAATTCCAGGTTGGAAATGGAACATCATGATTGGGGTGACAATATTATATACTATAAAGTTTCTAAATTTGCTTGGCGTGTTGGCACACGCCTTTAGTCCCAGCACTCAGGAGGCAGAGGCAGGAGGATCTCTGTGAGTTTCAGGCCAGCCTGGTCTATATAATGAGTTCAAGCCCAGCTGGTGCTATAGGCTACAGGGACACCTTGTCTCAAAGAGACTGAAAAAAAAGAAAGGTTTCTGAATTTATCATGGAATAAAAATGAAAAAAGCATAACCACTCCAAGGGACAAACATAAGAACAGACAAAATTTCATTCTTTTCTCCTCTGAGAAGTTCACTTTATGAGATGTGAGATTCACACAAAGTTAACACATACACACAGTAGCTCATCAAGGAACTCTGAGTATAAGTAAGAAATTCTGTAAGAAACATATTCTCACCAACAAAAACCAAGAGAGCTGTAATTCCCCACCGTCAGGTCTCTTTACAAAGCCCTCTGAGCAGGATCTAGGCACTCCCTCTCTTCCTGTGAGAAGTCCACAGCCACACCACTGAATGTCAACACACTCTGAAATGAATAATAATAGTCTGACCATCTGTCCACAGACACATTGCTTTTCTTGAATCAAGGAGACCAAAGAGATTGAGAGGCATTTTCTGATGTAGGGAGGATTACAGCATTCTGAAGATGGTTTCGGACATTGTCATGTTCTCTACTTTGTTTTCTAACTGTGGACATAGTATGGCAGGATATCCTCATATGCAGCATGTGTTTTATGCTCTTATGGACTATAGCATTAAGATCTCAAGATAAGAATATACGTTTTAATGCTGGATTCATATCATACGTTATATATCCCAAATGGAACATTAATGGGGAATTGAAAGTTTACTTATTAAGAGTTAACACTTACAACTATAGCTGCGGATGTATGCTAAAATATAGGTTCTGATTCTATACAATCTAGAATCATTCCTTGTGTGACTAATTCTAACAAGCTCTCTAGGGATGGCACGTCCCAGGGTCCAAACGCCAGTCCCTCAGATACAGAAAGTGGAAAATGGAAGTCAGATTGCCTGGACGAATTTACACTGGAAGAGCTTTGCTGTTTCCACAACAGCAAGGGCAGGAGCCACTGACTTGAAGTAGCTGCTGCACACTGGAGATCACTCTGCGGCATCTGGGAACATCATCACATTAATTCAAGTAGGATACTTGATTGTTTTTATGGGATTATTTTGGAAACCATAAAATTACTGATAAAAATGATGATTAGTTCATATGATCTTAAATTTATCTAAATGCAATAACCTTTAACAATCTAAATCTAAGAGGAGGCACAGCCAAAGTATCCAAATGTCTGCAGCCAAACTTTGAGACCTGCGCTCCTTGCTGTAGATAAGCAAGAACAAAGTTTAAATCCCGGGTGAGCTTGGAGGACCTCCCTCCGCCCCTAGCCCCCAACTCCGACTGCAGAGGCTCCCGGCCACTCCGATCACATGACCAGGAGTCTTTCCCGCGGCCTCAGGTCCCACCTGCCGGTCCCTCCCCGACCCGACCCGCATCCTCTCTGCACCAACTGCTCCAAGTGGTTCCCGTGGCTGGGGTGAACGTTCGCATCCAACTGAAACTCCGTCTGGATCCGCCCGCCGCCTGTTAAGCATCACCCTGCATCCCGGGTGGAGTGCTCCCTAGGTCTGTGTTGAGTTTTCTGGGACCCCAAGGCCCGGTGTCCAGCCCCACCTTGGCGCGTAGACACCTCTGCTCTGGCCCCGCCCACTCCGGCCCAAGTTTTACCAGGAAATGGATGTCTCAGGAAGTGTCACAGGAAGCCCATTGCTGACTAACCAGGGCCTGAATTCTCCCTGCAGAGTTCAGCAGTCACCACCAGAGGGCTGTCTTGCCGTTTTCCTAATTCAAACACGTTTGCCTTCCAGAAATCAATGTTAGAAATACTTTTAGGTAAAGCATAGAAAATTCCTATTTAAAAATTCACAGGAAAGGAATATGCAGGCATTTTACGACAGCATTAAAAGGCAAAACCTGCAAATTATGGACAGAGAAGAAAGAGAAGAACTCCAGGACAAAGGAATGGATAACATTTTAAATTCAACCACACAAGTATGTCTCCCAAATCTACAGAGAAATTTATCCAGCCAAGTACAAGAAACCCACACAACACCAAACAGAAAGGACCAGAAAAGAAACTCTCCCTGGCACATCACAGTTACAACACTAAAGACAAAGACTAAACAGAGGTACTGAAAGCTGCAAGAGAGAAGGCCAAGTCCCCCACAGTCAGACCCAGCACAATGACAACAGGTTATGCAGTGGAAACTTTGAAAGCCAGAAGGGCTTGGAAAGACTTTTATTTCATAACTGCCAACACTGACTGTTACACTTCACAAAACCCCTGAAAGAGAAGTAACAGGTTTTCATGACAGGGACTAAAGGAATATATGACCCCTACGCATCCTCCACAGAAAATACTGGAAGGAATACTAGGAACAGAAGACAGGGATAAACACATGTAGATGTCACAGGCAAAAAAGAATGCTAAAACTATTCCTCAAAAAGGCCTAAGAAAACATAAAATCAACAAGAAAAGGAATTAATACACTTTATCTATAATAACTGAATATTAATGGTCACAAATCCTTGCAGTCAAAGGGCACAGAGGAGCAGATTGGATTAGGGAAGAGGATCCATCTTCCTGCTGCTTCAAAGAAACACGTGTTGCCAGAAAAGGGAGACAGCACCTTGGGATAAAGGGATGGAAAAAGTGCTCCATCATGGAACTAGGAAACCAGCAGGCAAATCTACTCAAATAACACACAAGATAGATTTGAAACAGAATTTGGCAGAATTTTTCACTTCCCTTAATCCTCATTAATGGAAAAATTGATCAAGAGGATACTGCACTTCTAAACATGTACACACCAAAGACAGATTCTCTCAAGTTTAGTAGCAGAAATACCACTAGATGAAAAACCACAGATCAACCCCAACACATTAATAGAGATTTCAGTACTCCACTATCACCAAACCACACGTCACCTGGACAAAAGAGGAATCTAGAAATATTGGAATTAGATGAATCTATAAATCAAATGCATCAAACAGATATCTACAGGACATTACACTCAAACACAGGAGGACACCAATTGTTTTCAGAAGCCCATGGAACCTTCTCCAAAATAGACTCCAAGATTTGGAGCAGAGCAGGCCTCAAGAAATTGAGGAACATTGAAATGCATAGACTTTCTATGCACCACTGACAAGTATACAGAAAAAAAAAGAAAAATCGGCAACAATCCGTTTCACAATGGCCACACCAAAAATAAAACACCTAAGTATAAACCTAACAAGGGAAATGAAAGAAGTCCACACTGATAGCATTCAGACTCTGAAGAAAGAAATGAGGAAAATTCCAGAAGAGAGTTTCAGAGAGAGAATAACACGTACTGATGAGGAAAACCCAACCCTTGGTGCACAGGACATGAAGTGTGAAGGACTAACATGAAGTGTGAAGTACTAATGAGGCAAGACAGAAGGACAGGCAGAACTGACGGCACTGAACAGAAAGGAGCCCCAACCCCCAAGGCTGTGGAAGTCTTGCACCAGCTGAGAGGTAAGAATATTACAGTAGCAAAATTCACCATGAAGGCAGCCTCTGTAGAGTCAGTGCGGTCTTTATAGAGATTTATCAGTAATGATTGTAAAGTCACAATGAACGATGCTGAAGGACACAGCATGTGGCTTTACAGTTTATCCTCGCTCCTCATGGAGGCTGAAGAAGAGAAGGGGGGACCAGGTCCAGATGGATGAACTGATGGACTAGTGGAAGGCAAGTACTACAGGGCAGATGGACAACATAGGCTGAGTCAGCAGAGGAGACTGGGCCAAGCTAAGCTCCTGGGAGACAAGGAGGACTTCTCTCTCTGGGGATCCAGTGATACTCACACCAGGCCTGTGTGCAGGACAATAGAGGTGGAGAAAGATTAATGTATGAGTGGTCAGAGGAAGAATGGAACCCCCAGCTTCTTTCCTGGGCTTATACAAAACAAGCACTGCTGAGAAAATCCTGTGAGGTCTCCAGGTTGCAGCTATGTAAACGACCTGTAAAGGATCAGAAGTCATGTGGTGTGAGGCTTTTGAGCTTCAGACCTGTCCAGGCTGCTAGCCCACTTCTTCTCAGGGCTGTCTTTCTAGGCTGAAATAAACTGTTCCTGGGACTGTCCATCTGTCCCTCCTCTTGTTCTTTGTTCTGAGACACAAGAACCAGGAGGTTTCAGCATGGAGTATGAACCATACCTATAGCAAAAAGGCCATCTCCTCTCAGTGTTAAATGTCCTGTTCGCGTGGTCCAGATGAGTGCTTTACATCTTTCCTTCTGTCTGGTGTGATGGAGACAGTCCTGGGCTTGGTTTCCCTGATATGAACCTAATACATTCCTTTGTCTCCATTGTCCCAATTCATTCCAGTTCATTTATCTGGTTTACTCACTCTCTTGAGTAAGTCGTTTATCAGACTGTGCTTCATGGATGGAGTTTACCTGTTCAAAAGTGCTGTTCTGTTGTCAACCCAGGTGCAGAATCATCGTCCAACCTCAAAACAGATATGTTAGATATGAATTTGTGGTTTCAAGAAAATGACCACACAATCCAAAGTATTTGGGCAAGGTAAAACTCTTGCTTCTGCAGAGTGATGCATCTATGCTGCTCAAAGCCTGCAAGCAAGCACAGACAGAGAAGGTCCTGCTGGGTTTATTCCTAACAGGAAGGCCCCTCTGTCTCCCTGTATGTGGTCAGAGCTCAGCCTCTCATTCTTATGTAATTCGCTGACACAAAGTGAGGGAGCTGAGAAGCAGAATGCAATTTTCAGCAGGGACTGCAGTCTGAAACATATTTGATTTCAAGAAGGGAGGATCATAGAGTTTGAATTTCTGTCAAGCAACTTATTTATCTGCTTTTATAGGAGGTTGGTGTTTTTTGTTTTTGTTTTTGTTGTCTTAATTAACCCTTTGATAGAACAGTTAGCACATTTCTTTGACATTTCCCACAGACTAGAATCTGCTTGTAAAATCGAGTTTGGAGAAAGAGTTCACACAACATAAAGTAATTTATGGCAGGGCACAGCCTGATCTCTATTGTCTCTCAGGCTGCTGATCACCCTTTTCTCCCCGCTGAGCTGCCAGCAATCCTAAGAAATCAACTTTGCTATCCTGGAGTCCTCCTGTGTTTTCTGTGGCTATTCCCTGACCGGCTTTTATCTAACATTTGCAAAAGGGAGTTTGGAGAAAGTTCACACAATATAAAGTAACTTGTGGTATGGCACAGCCTGATATCTATTGTCTCCAACTAAGTAGGCGTTCTCTTCAGGGCTTCTGTGACCTCCCTGTGCAGATAGGAAAAGGTGGGTTGGATTGCTGTAGAATATTCTTCCAACAAGGTTCAGCATTGATGATCATGAACAGAGGGCTAACAGTCTACACAGTTGACCTCTTTACCCAGCAGTCTCCCAAGTAAGATGATATTTGTAATTGTGCATATTTTGTGCTGTTCCTTTGATTTAAAAAATATTTTATTTATTTATTTATTATTTATTTATCACCTTCTCACATACATTAACTTTTTGACTGCAAGAGCAACCAGTGCTCTTAACCACTGAGCCATGTCTCCAATCTTCTGATTTACTTTTTAATGCTTTTATTAATTCTTTTAGAGTTACAAACAATGTGTTTTGACTATGTTTGGATGCCTTTCTCTATGTCTACCCCACACCACTACCACCAAGCCCGACACCATGTCCTCTGTTATTACAGTTTTTGAAAGGCCTATGCAGTGTAATTCGTGTTCCCCAAATGTTCTCCGGTGTGGGTCTGTCCTTCAGAGACTTAACAACTTGCCCAGCATCTTTCTTCTTCTATTCTAAGTTGGATTTTGTTTTTTAGAGAGTTGCCCCTGTTTCTATCTTCTTGAATAATGTAAGTAGTGTTGGTTTTAGATATTCTTTAAATGTCTGGTAGAAATCTGCTATGAGTCCATCTGGGCCTGGGATCTTTTTTAAGGGGGAGGTGTTGTACTTCTGCTCAGTTTCCTTACATGTCATGGATATGCTGAGGTCATTGCCCTCTTCTTGGTTTCATCATTTCTAAACCATGAGTTTAGAAATTCATCCATTTCTTTTAGGTTTTCAAATTAGTAGCATATAGATTTTGGAACCATTCCCTTACCATGTTCTGGATCTTTCTGGTGTCTACTGTGATTTTTTTTTCACCTTTCATCTTTGATTTTATTTGGATTTGCTCTTTCTTTCTGT